TCTCCTTTGTATATCGGGTCCTCACTCTGATGTCACTTATATACTACTACAGAAGGACTCTCACAGCTACTTCTAGAACAACAGTTCAGACATAAAGGTATAGAAGCAATAACAAGTAAAGGAAAACAACCATTAAAAAAAAAACAACAACTTTAAAGTGGCTTTGGTCAATGACATGAGGCATGTCATTGAGGCAATGACAGAAGTAGAATAAAATATCTCACAGAAAAAACAAAAGCTACTAAAAACTGCCTTTAGATTGCAGATGTGGTGTTGAAGAACAATCAAGTCAGAGAAGAAAACAGTGTTAGTTTATGCAGCAGCAGGGCAGTATGACACAAGGACCATACGTAAGCACAAACTGAAACATGACACTCTCACTGTACAAAAGTATCTGCATACCTTCAGTGCTCTGTAAATAATAAATAACTGAAACAGAGGTCATCTCTGTGGGTTTAACAAGAATGACATGGCCCAGGGTATAGAGCTTATGCCAACTCGTCTATACTACATAGTGCATGGTTAAATGAGAATTTCAATTTCCACAGCTGTCAGTCTTGCATGTTTTCCAACAGTGGATTTCACAAAACATTCCATAATGATGCAACTCAAAGCTGAGTGAAAAATAACTCAAACTCCTTTTGAGTGTTGTTGTAGAAAAGGCCTTCTATAGCAAACAAATTATACACCCTGTGTAAATGTACACTGCAGGCACAAAAATCAGTGTCACGTAAAACATACGCACAGAACTTGCAACAACAGAGTATCAGAGTCTTAAAAACAGTGCTCTTTTCAGAAAAATTCTTTAACATTTTCAACAATCTATACAAGCAAAAGTAACTTGTGAGATTAATGGCAATTGAGAGATATCAAGGCTACTTAAAGGCAGCGTCCCAGGGCCAGGAAGAAGAGCAAGTATGATATTGGTAGATGGGTAAGAGTGAGCTTGGGGAGCTGGGAGTGAAGAATTAATTCTTAATTAGATATTCAAGGCAAAAACAAGGAGATTAAAAATTATAAATCAAAGACCATTTAGTATCACACCAGGTGTTAAGACCCATCTTCCAGATGCCATTAATCTTAGGGACTTAACAACAGGCTTTAATGCGAAAAAGCTCACTCTCTGCAGTTAGAAACAAAGGATCTTTCCACTGGGCATAGTGACCCCAGCCACTCCTCTCTGATCCTCCTTCACCTAACAGGCAGTGTCAAGCACAGCACAATTCATCATCTTGGTACAAAGTCATTTGCAGCTCAGTAGTCTGCAATTATGTTACATCCCAGGCACAGAGCTCCTAGAAGGTCACTAAGTTCCCTCATTCCAGCCTGAACTTGCTATTACTGCCTTGAAGCAATGCAGGTAAATTTTAACATAAAGAAAATCAACAAGTATGAATTTTTCACTGTTAGGCTTCATTTGCTGCAATGCCTCAAAACTGGTCACTAAGGTAGGCCTCCCTGCACAGTACACAAGGGCCAAGGAGGACACATGGCCAGAAAAGGCACTGGAAAGAAATCTCCCCCATCAGCAAAATTGGAGAAATAGCCTGTTTCAGAAGCGGCTGAAAGCAATTTCTCTTCTTCATTCCCTCTCCCTTGTAACTGCTTCTTATTCTCATCACTTCCAATTTAAAAAATCATACCCCTGCACCCTCTGCAAAAAAACCTGCTCTTTCCTCACAACTTGCCTTGACTTTCCTCATTATTGCCTGACACATTCATGTCACCTTTGTCTACATCATTTTTGGTTGTGTTGCCTAGAATTCCCTTCTTAAGTCCCATTTCAGCTGCTTTAATTATGTTTCTGCTACTGTTTCACCAAAATTATTCTTTATCAAGAGCAAAAGCCTTCTTTAATCTAGTTAAAAAAAATAATAATAATTGTTTATCCTCTCACTGATTACTTGATTTGCAGTCTCCCTTGGAAACTTGTCCAGTGAAGTACCGCTAGTGGTACAGCAGGTTTAAGGAGCCTCTGTTGCTTTCATAGATACAGCCATGAACAACTGAATCAAAACTACAGACTTGGGTTCTTTCATTTGCTCCTTTCTAAGCTCCTGGAACTGAGCTGTGCAGTCCTCATTGCATGTTTTGTTAACACTCAGAATCCTTCTCCAGAAGTTTCTCGTGCTCACTTATCACTTCCCATTCAATTCCCTCTTTTTCCTTTACTACTCATTTTTCACTAATCTTCTATTGCTCTCTGTTTCAGCATCCATTATTGTTTATTACCATTCCAACTGCTGTCATTTTCCAACTCTATAGCCTTTATCTTTTCTTTTCTATTCTTCTTAATATAAGTCTAACATTGGGCCTCTCATGCAAATTCACAAACCCAGAAGTCTCTCCAAATTTAGCATTTTTTTCTCATTCCCTTTGAACTCTTGCTAGGATTTGTCATTTCCTCTCACAAATCTTTCCTCTCAAAAATCTGCCCTCTCCACACATAAATGTGTGTCATCAGGAGTAATGTAGGGAGAAAAGGTATTCTAATAATTCCTTTCTCTTTGACAGGCAGTACAGACTGTACAGAGAACATAGGAAAAAAAAAAGTGAGATTTTGGACTAGGAACGGAACTCTCAGGGAAACAGCTTGAACACATTAAGACCAATTAAATTGTAATTTATCAAGTGCCAAAATAAGCTAAAAGGCATTCATCTTACATGGAGGGAAATATCTGAGTGCAGCACATAACCCCAAATTACATAACAGCTTGGGATTTTTTTTTTTTAAATGCATATACCAGGGTTCTCTGCTGGGACAACACCTTGCAACTTTCCTATTTACAAAATGCTCAGTGCATACAAATGGCCCTAGTGGGCCAGCCTGGGTGTCCTGACTGAACCAAGGACCCCACTGGTTCAGACAAAATATCCAGTCAGACCCAGGCCCCTCTTCTCCAGGAACAGCCATAACCAGAGCCCTGGGGAACTGGTGGTGAAATGGAGGGGAGAAAATGAACACGGAGTAATTGCATGGAAATGCACTTTTCTTCTCAACCCCAAAAACATGCCCCTCAATTTTTCCACATTTTGCAGCAAACAGCTCGCTACCCATGTGGTAATATCTACAGGCATGTCAGTTCTGAATTTTTCTTCTTCTTTTCTAACTTCTCTCAGTAGCTTTGAATAACCAGGCAGCATGCACATCATGCGGTAGCAAGTAATTCCAGAGCTGACTTGCATAGTGGGCAAAGAGCAATTTCCTTCCCTTTTTCAAGCTACTACCTGCCTGCTTTACCCGACAGTTCTCCCATTAGGAGCATAAGGTGATAGTAAACAGGAACAGATTCATGCTCCTCACACCTGATGATTTTGTAGGCTTCTAGTGTTATCATCTGGCTATTGTCTCTTTGCCAACTTAGAAAATCTGGTTTATAGTAGTTGTGCTTTGCCCAGAAGCGGTTCTGTGCCCTCTCTAATTCTACTCTTTGTTTTTTTTTTTCCCTAAGAAAAGGAAATCAGAGCTCTGCACTGTATTCAAGACACCAACACACCACTGATTTAAGGAATGGCATGATGACATTTCCATCTCTATCTTTTCACAGCCATTTCTGATAAAAATGTTCTTTTGCTATTAAGCCCCGAGATGATTTTTTTCCCCATGAAATTACTGCTTCTAATCTCAAGATCTCAGGCTTGCCTGGCAAGGGCTGGCTCTAAACATTTTGCAAGCATTAACCTTTAATGTCATCCACCATTTTAATGGCCACTCTGCTCTCTCTTCCAAACCATTTATGACTGCAATGATTCCTGTGGGCACCACAGAGATCTCTGTGGAAATCCACAGATGATTTTCTAACTGCTATGAGAACAGATCACACTACTAAGACTGTTAGCTCTGCCGTCTTCATAACTTCCCTCTGGGCAGCTGTAGGCTGATATTAGCTTGTTTGTTGAAGCTTCTCTTCAACAGGGTCCTCTTTACAGAAACCTTTCACAATCTTCTTGTGTCATATTTATCCAGTCACCTTTCTAATATACCCACTTATCTAAACTTTCTTTTTTTTTTTTTTTTTTAAGTAACTGATTCAATGTAAACAGCTCCACCAAGAATACTTTCAAATACTTAACATCAAATTAGACAACTGCAAAACTTCAGCTGAGACCCTTTTAAGCAAGAGGCTGCACACCACAGTCTGTAGTTGGTCTACTTCATCCTTCAGTTCCTTAAAGTTTTGAGTGAGTTGCATCTAATCCTAGTAAATTAGGAATGCTTAGTTTGCTCTATGAACTTGCCTAAATGCTTCTAGTGGACAAAGATGACCCAAGAAATGAACCCAAGAATGCAGTTTCCAAAACAAGACCCAGCCCAAGCATTTCAAGGGGGAGCGGAGACACACACAAAACTTAAATATTTCATTTTCTCCTCTAGCTTTATCTTAGGTTGTTTTTTCCATAACACATAAGCCCCACAAACTCTTCACTAGACCTCCTGCTATCTCCTGCTTCAAAAAAATAAAAATAAAAATATATACAAAAATAAAAATAAAAACGGCACTGATTTATTTCATCAATTTTAGCCTGACTTTTTTTTATATGTACTTTCTCATTTCTATTTTCATCCTTTGGATATAGCCTTAGCTTTTGTAAGAGTGTCCTCTTGCTTTCCCCAGTCCCCTGTACCTTGTCATTTAGCTCTACTGGCTTCCTTTTCCTAGGTCTTTTATAGGCTGAGGGTAAGCAACAGCATCCTGAAATAGCATCTCTGCCACCTGCAGACATTTTACAGTTGTCCTTTCAGCTTTTCTTCAGACAAGCATCCTCACTTTTAACTACTTTCCCTTTTTGAAGTGGGACATAATTTGAGAGCGAGAAGAAAAATGAATAAGTGTCCTGTTTTCTTGCATTCCTCTCATCCAAGGGATGAAAGAGAGGCAGAATAGTGGCAAAGACCTAAAAAGTTGTCTCACTACCCATTTTTTTTTTTCCTCTTCCCCCGAATAGCATCTTGCAATATGTTCATGGCATTGCTGAGCAAAATACAGTTTCTTACATACCTGTGAGGCACCATCACTCTGCAATCGTCTACTGCCTCTGGTCTGTGCTTGCACAGAGCCGAGCACAGCAGGGTCCAGGATTCCTCACATCAGCTCCTAGGTCATAAGGAAAAAAAGAAATAGTAAAAATTGAAAAGAATGGTTGGGTTAATAGTTATTAAAATCCATGTGACACAAATTTGAGAAAAACTCCACATTTCCCTTAGTGCCCTAACCACTGTTCAGATTAAATAGGCCTCCAAAACAGGATGAAATGTGGGCCCAAGTGAAATCCTCGACAAAATTCAGGCAGGCAGAACTTCAGTATTTGCTCACCTGCCTAAAATTTGAAAAAGTTCAGGAGAAAAATGCTGTTACTGTCTAAGATCTCAAAACAATACAAAAAAATCATTAAGAATACTTCAAGATGTAAGCCCATTGTAAGAATCAAAGAAAAAAAAATTTAAACATCTAAATATATTATTTTTCATTTTTGAAACAGAAAAATGTATAGCTGATAATCACTTGCTGTCTTACTTGAAAAGGCAAGGCAAGCACCATGCAGCAACAAGACACACTTCAACAAAAAGTGTCACAAGTGAGGAACAGAAATTGTCTCGCCTAATTCAAGCATTCATATCTTTTTTATGGAAGTGTTTTGGCACACAACCAAGACACTAACGAGGACGGGCTCACCCTTGAACCTAATCAAAGGCATGACGCTGCCAGAAGTCACTGTTTACTCGCTCACATAAAGTGACTAAACTAGGTGACTGAAAGCACTCACACTTTGTTTTTCCAATGCTTTGCTGACCTACAAATGTCTCAAGAAAACTACTGAGAGTCCTTCATAAAAGCACTCTGCACCAAAGAAACTTACTATACGCAGGAAGAATCATACAGGCGAGCCAAGGAAGAAACCTACATTTACCACGCCACGCTTTCTCACCAGTACCCTGAATGCTATCACAAATTATTTGAGCTTTTTATCATTTACTTTCTTTTAGACTCCAAATTCATATCCCATACACGTACAAGCACACACCACCTTCCACCAAACCTGACCGTCTCTCCACAGCAGAGGAACCAAATGAAGCTAAAGGAGGAAAGCTCATCCTGAATTGCAGCATCTAGGCACTGGCTGAAGCTCAGTATTGCTGAGAAACCAATGCATTCGCATCCAACCTGCACACAACCACAAGCACCATGTCTCTAAAGTAATCCAGTGACGCACGCATATGCTCACTACGCGAGAGTAAGAAGCTGATTTTTTAATCTTTGAAATATTACACAAAGGCCACCTCCCCCCCTATTTTTAAAAATAAATAAACCTGGCAATATCAGTGCTGTCTACAAGCACGTCAGCCCCTCACCACCCTTTTCGAGGTTTGGACTTATGCATAAAAGTCTCAACTTTTATTCTAGCAATGTGTTTAATCTAAACAGTTACATAAACACAACTTGAAAGCAAAGTCTGCATTCGCCTTAGTGATTTAGACAGAACACACACAGAGAAACAAGAAGTAAAGTTTGGGATTTCTGTGATTTCACATCTCGCCTGCCTTGCAGCTCCTAGCACAGCTCGCCTGCCTTCCCAGGAGCGCCAGCCCTCACAGCTTGCGCCACACACACACTGTGACTTGAGTCAGAGCATCCTGAAAAAGGGATGATCGTGGTCTAGAGCTAAACAACTTCAGAGGGTTAGGGAGAACGGGGGGGTTGCCCACGTCTGTGCTCCCACCCTTTAGCATAACACAGAAGAACTACTGAGCACACAGGAGTTAACACAGAAATAGATTCTACTTCTTGGAGCATCCTGAAAAAGGGATGTTGCTGATGATCGTGGTCTAGAGCTAAACAGCTTCAGAGGGTTAGGGAGAACGGGGCGGTTGCCCACGTCTGTGCTCCCACCCTTTAGCATAACACAGAAGAACTACTGAGCACACAGGAGTTAACACAGAAATAGATTCTACTTCTTTCTATTTGCATGTTGAAGAGGTCCTCAAATAAGGCAGGAGATACCATCAGACACAGTTTATTTCCTGGAATAAAAAAAAGGGGGGAAAGACACCAATGATTAAAGCTAAAGTTGAGCCACAAGGAACATGAAAGAAATAGAAATGCCCCTCCATGCTGCATTTTGTTTATATTTTCTTTCAAACCACAATATGCAATTTGAGCAAAATATAAGCAAAAAAAAAATTAAATCTTTTAGGAGAAAAAAAATACAGAGAGAATGAAAATCAACTGTGTTCTCCCCCATGTCATCAAAAGTTTCACAGGAACTTAAGGAAATATTTTTTAACAGTGAGGGTGACAGAGCACTGGAACAGGCTGCCCAGAGAGCTTGTAGAGTCTCCTTCTCTGGAGATCTTCAAAACCCGCTTGGACGCAGTCCTGTGCCACGTGCTCTAGGTGACCCTGCGTGTGCAGGGGGGTTGGACTAGATGATCTCTATACGTCCCTTCCAACCTTAAGCATTCTGTGATTCTATGTCCCAGAAGCCACCACTGGACACATCCCAGAATCCATCAACACACTCGCAGCTCCCAAACAGGACAAGATCCCTGAACACGAGCTCGCAAGCTGAAGGCCAAAGTATGGAGTGGTACCAACATTGCCCTATTTGTGCCCAGAGCTGCTAGCTGTTTTCACGGATGTGTCTTCTGGATCAACTCAGAAGTCACACCTGGACAAAAGAGGAGCAGTGCCAAGCACCCAGGCATTGGAAATGCTCTTACTTTGTTACCCCAATCATTATGAAACTCAGATAACGACATACATGTATACATCCTCTTGTAGGCAATAGATTCAACTCATCCACACTTTGCCAGACTTCTGGCATCTAACATAAGCAGAACATTCCAGACGCACTGCTCCCAAGAGTCCCATGTCCCAGTCCCAGTCCCCACAAACTCACTGTGTACAGTGTAACGTGTGCCAGTTCCCAGGAATACGAGAGCAAGCCATAGTCTTTATGCTGATGTGTATAGTACTGGTTCCCTTCTCCCAGTTCTGCTGGAAGACAAGGGCTTAAGGAAAATCAGATTCCTCAGTTATCCACAGCTTTAATTGTAGCATTTCTTTATTCTCTGCAAGTTTGCTGATGACACGAAACTGGGAGGAGTAGCTGATACCCCAGAGGGCTGTGCTGCCATCCAGAGGGACCTGGACAGACTGGACAACTGGGCGGTGAAAAACCTCATGAAATTCAACAAGGCCAAGTGCAAGGTCCTGCACCTGGGGAGGAATAACCCCAGACACCAGCACAGGCTGGGGACTGACCTTCTGGAGAGCAGCTCTGCGGAGAAAGAAAGAAAGAAATAGAAAGAAAGAACAAATGCAGACACCAGAGTGCCAGGGCGGGAAACATACTGCTAACAAGGAAATCATAGATCAAAACATACGAAGTCACCAGTCAGAGTTCTCTGGCTGGAAACTATAAAACTGAGTGACATAACATTTATTCGGTTTTGCAGGGCTCATAAAAGTCTGCTTAAGGCTGCCCAACCTACTCTTACTCTATCTAGGCTAAAGTGACAAGACACAGTAGTGTAAGTTTAACCATCACAGACCTCTAGTTCCAAAGGATTGCTTAAGTAATCTCCATTCTCCTCCTAAAGGCAGTGCTGTGCTGCTTCTATCTCTTCCACCATTTTCACTCATAAGAAGAAAAAGCATCATCAATATTATTGCATCCACTCAGATAAGAGAAGATGCCTTTGGAAGATGGAGTTATTTCTCTTCTGGAATTCTACTGGGTTATTTCATGTCCTAACTGATCCTGGAACCTAATATTCAAAGTTGATGAAATGTGCAAATCTTACATTGTGTTCCATGAAATTTAAATTTTTCAGCATCTATGCCAATTTAAGAAAGACAAACCAGAGAAACCCCAAAGATTCACTCATGCTCTTTCACTAACCAGAAGAGGGTAAGTAAGCTAAGAATGGTCAAAACAAACGTAAGGACGTTATGTAAGAGAAATGCTCACCAAAAGCATTTTTAGATAGGCCACAAAACACATAAACATATTAAACTTTATCTGATAGTTTAAAAGACTGATTTTTGCAAAAGATTTTTTAAATATTCAAACAAAACGTAGATCACTGACACTTTCCAGAAGAAGAAAAAGAAAAAAAAAAAAAGAAAACTATCTACTGGGGGTTTTCCTTTATCTTCCTACCAACTATTCTGAATATTCTGAATTATTTCTTTTCCAAACCACAGGATACCAGCTGGTGTATTTCCTAAAGCACACTTAATTCAGACACATCTGCTTCCTAGTGGACCAAGGAGGATGCTTGGTATTATAAAGCCTGGACTGTATTCCTAGCTAAACAAGCTAATTGCAGTGTGGCAGTGCTCTGTCCCTCTTTTACCATTATCGAATGGGAAAACTACACACAGCTGTTTCAGAGCTGGAGTTTTAATATATCCCGGTTTGCATGAATAAGGTACAAGTTTTAAAATGTCTCAGCGAGCTGCACTGTGCAAACTGCAGTTCCAATCGAGGGTGACAATTTCTGGAAAAGCTGCTTTATGGTCACTTTCTCCTATCAGAACCCAGCTGCCTTCTGCAGAAATAGGACTAAACAGATTCACGTAGGTACTGCAGATGCCAAAAAATAATGAAAAGACTAATCCTGAATATTGCAGCTGCTGCCTATGTGCATTACCTAACAATGCAGAAAGTCTTACTGCCACGACTGCCTTCAGCATGCACCGCTTTAGCGGAGTAAAAAAATATATGTATATCTGTAGTCTGGTAGAATACAAGATGATAGTCTGAAGAAGAAAATAACTCTCTGCATACAGCTTGAGGTTACGAGGAAAGCATCTGCTAATATGCAGCAGGCTCCCATAATTGTGCAGCTGAAGTAATAATACCCTAGCAAAATGCCATTAAAATGTTCAGTGTTTAACAACTGTGCCAATTTTCATGCATGTCAGTTCCTTCCACAAGCTGGCTCATGCACTTCAGTAATCTAAATGCTCCAAAACAATTTAAAAAAAAAAAAGTCATATCTACTACACTTTAAAGACAGGAAGCCAAGTTTAGACAAGCCTATTAATTTTAATGGGATACCAGGGGGGGAA